GGGTTGTTGCTCGGGAATGGGAATTTTCCATGACGCTTTAGGGCAACACCGACCGTTAGCTGGGTCACGTGGCTTTACCGGAAGTTGTAAGGGCGACGCGCCACGACGCGCGCGCCCTCGTCTTCCGTCCCAGGTCCCAATCCTCACCTGCAATAAAGTCCTTTCCCCTCGTTTTAGAAAATTCCCATTTTTTCCCTCTATCTCTCTGTTTCCGTTCCATCGGTTCGGTTTAGCCGTTCCTCGCACCTTTCTTTTTGCCTGCTGTTGCTCAATCTTTCTATATTTATAAATCGATTTTGCAATTGTATTTTCTTCCGAAGCGTGAAGGTCGCCCTGAACTATCCTCAACACGCTACAGAATTGTGTCCCATAACAAGGAACGATCCATAGTTAACAACTCATTTGTTGTTTATCGGAGATTGGGTAGGTGAGTATTATGCGATTCGAATAAGTAAGTGAATTGTTAGGAATTGAGATTACTAATAGAAAAGAAATATAAACAATTGTTGACGCGTCCTTAAGTGACTCTTTGTATCGGATGACATTGGGTAAATGCCTGCGGTTGTAAGACGGAACGTTCAAAGTGTTCGGAGTTTACATTTTAGTTGAAATGTAAATAATAGAATTTGAGGCTTGAGAAACAAAAAAAAATATATCAAAGAAATTGTATTTTGAAATTCGAATACAAAAATGCCAAACTTTGTTGTTATATTTACCTATTAAACTTTAAACCGCAATATTTTAAAACTAAGAACAGTTTAAGGTGATTCACAATGTTTTACAAACAAGAATATATGGAAGCGTTAAATTTGAATTACTATACTTTTAATAAGCGTATTTAAGTAGACCAGATAGGTGAGTCGTCCATTGTATCTTGTATTCTTATATTTATGTGAATTGCAGTAAAAAATGTAATATCCTAAAAGCGTGCATTAATCAATCAATAAAAATGCAATTATTATTACGAAATATTTACTTTTTGCTACCTTTTCAATTATAATCTACTTATTTTATTTATAACAATTTATAATCTAAGTAGTATTCATAAGGTCGATAATGCATATTTTGGAAAAATATTTTACTGAATAAAACAACAGTGCGATTACATGTTCTATTCTACTTACGTATTGTTATATTTTACGAGTACGAATATAATGTTGCAGATAATGTGACAGGAAATATTGGTATATTTATATAACGTAGATAGCAGGTGGAATCTTTTGGAATGTTTATCAACGTTGCATATGAAACGAAAATTTATGATTCTTTAATTATACATACATTATAATTAAATTTTAATTAATATGTTCTTTCTTAGTGAGACGACGTTGTTTTATTTTCCGTATGTTCGTAACATTATGAACGCGTGAAGGATTCAAAATAAAATTTATATATATTTAATATTATTTAATATTTACGAGGAATGTGTTTCTATTATTGTTTAGGCATTTTGAAAAAATGTGACTGTAATATGATATTGTTGTTTGAAGTTAAGAAATCAAAACTTAGATGTTGTTTTGAAATATGTATTTGAAATGTCATCCTTTGATATAGCATCTTTTAATACTTTGTGGCTACTCCAATTATTCTGTATATTTATAAATAGACGGAAAGGACTCTTATTTGTGCGGTTTAGAAACAAATTTTTACGGTTACTGGTAGTTCCTTGCCATAATTGAAACCGCTTTATAAATACCTTTTCCACATTTAGCAATTTTAAACGAATCATTTTGAAAGATACATAACTCCAACAGGTTTATTTAGATAATGGTATTTTTAAATTTGATTGAAGGAAGTATTGCTTTTGAAGCAGAAAAATACAGCTCTATATTTATTGTTTCGGAGTAATAAGCATGAATAAGTTTTTATATATGGGTTCAAAAAATTGTTCTTCTATTATATCAATTTGTTAACAAGACATTTTAAAATTTAAAAACTATAGTATTATTACATTTTCATATTTTTAGAATAACTGTTCAGAAAGTTAAAAAGACATCTTAGTATCCTCGGCGACTGTATAATTTACATTAGTAATAAAAACTCCCATAGGATCCTTCCTTTTCAGGTATTTTAAAAAAGTAAACAATATCCCAATATTTTAAAGTTTATTTACGCTTGGGTAGATAAAATGAAAATTTCGGAGACCGTCGGGGATACTACAGTGTAATTACAAGATTAACATATACCTAAGCATATAGAATATTGGAATAGGGCTTGTGCTATGGTATTTAAAGAATGTTACAAATATGTAGTAGTCCGGATGTAATACAATACAAACTTTTTCCTGTATCCAATAAAACATCCCTCATTATATTATATTTAGAAGTTTTGTATGAAATCGTTTATTCTGACATAAATTAATCTGAACATTTTATGTACATATATCGACATGATGTAATTTCCAAATACTAAATTCACAGCTATATTAAATGCAAAACTATTGTACCATGCATTGTTCGAAGGAATCAGAGCCACGTTGAACGGACTCTTCGATGTCTTTCGTCGCTAAAAGACCTTTGGTGCTTTCGGCTTCTTTCATCCAAAGCTGAACCTACGCAACAACATTATATACATACAACACAATTACTTACAGTGATTAAAGCATGTTTATAGATTTTTACATGCAATAAAACCATGCATCAAACGGAAGGAAAAGGAAATACAGGCACAATATCATGTACAGTGAGTCACAGCCAAAATCGTACATCACATATACGAATACGTTTCGTCTCGTGAAAAAGTTCAGGAAGGATATGGGGGAAAAAATATCATGAATCTATATTGTAAATGTATCTATATTTATTATGTAGTAGTGTCAAAAGGAACAAAGTTGTCTAAATATAAAAAAAACAAAGTTACTATAATTCAGCCTGGAAAACGTCTCACAGCTAAAATCGTACAGTATATATATTTTGTAATATTCCCCAAGGGGAACCCCTGAAAACAAATGAAAATTATGGAACA